CCAAATCACGTGATCAATAGCTTATTAAAAAGCCAAAAAGCGAAAGATTTTATTTATTAAAATTTTAATAAGGAACACGATCCCCATTATTATCAAGTACATACTGACAACGATATCTCATGGATCCCGCCAAATTTCTTAAGACATCATATGGGATTTTTTCCCATTCTTTGGTCATAAACCTTTCCAATTCATCCAGATTTTTTGGCCACCGTTTCTCAACATTATTCTTTACAACACTCCATAAATTTTCGATCGGGTTCAGGTCAGGGCTATTGGAAGGCCAATCAATCACTCTCAGGGCATTTTCTGCCAAAAAACTCTTAGCAAGTTGACTTGTGTGCTTGGGGTCATTGTCCTGTTGGAACTTCCAATGACTTCCAAGCACACTTCTAATCTCGGGGAAGTGGTTTTCCAAAATATTAACATAAAACAGAGTATTCATGATTCTTCTAAAGCAGTAAAGACTAGTTTGACTCTTAGACCAAAATGCACTCCACGCTAAAATTTTTTTTTTTTTTTTTTTTTGGAATTCTGCGTATAGGTCGTTTATCTTTATACCAATACTCTATAGTATTTCTAAACAGTGAGAAAGCTGTTTCATCACTAAATACAGTCCGGTCCCAATTATGATTAAGGTATTTTTTCGCCCAATTAATATACTGCTGGATATGCTTTTCTGTAAGCATTGGTGTTGCATAAGCTTGATCTTTTTTATATTCAAGCTGGGTCAAATGGTTTAGGATAGCTACGTGGGAAACCTGGGCCTTTATTTTGAGCAGACTTATGGACAAAAACCTCAAAGATATTGAGGGTTTTTTTTTATTTGCTGGACTAGGAATTGGGAGACTTGTGGAGAAATTTTTTGAGGCAACTATTGTGCTTACGATGCTTTACATTTTTTTTTTTTTTTAGTTTAGAAATGTTATAATAGATAGTGAACCTTGGTACACCAGTTTGCTTGTAGATTTTACTTGCACTTCGTATTCCTTTGTTCCAAAGTTGTTGAACAGACTTTGTATACACATCTTGACGGGTTCCCATTTTAATCGATTATTCAAAAAAAAAAAAAAGGCAAAAACCTTAAACATATTCTAAAAAAAAAGAGATCAGTCTGATAATCAATAAATACTATTTTGTTTAACGTAATACTAACCAAAAATAAAAAAAGTTATGCTGATCAAAAATTTACACATGATATCGTTCAAAGATTTTCTTAACATACTGTACATGTTTCTGTATCAATAAAACAATAAAACTGGTCCTGGTTGCTCAATTTCACATAAGTAATCAGTTTACTTTTGCATATGTATTCTTACCGATGTATGCTAACCCACATATAATTGATAATTTTTAAAAATTGGAATGAACACATAATGTTTTTATTTTGAATATATCTGCATTTTATGTTAAACAATG